GTACAACTCTATCTTACCCGAAAACCCAAATTTGAATGGGTGTTCAAACAAGTACCAAGAGGTCGGAGTTCAAGAACAAGTTCTGACAGAGAGTCAACATCGTACTTGATTTCCTAATATTGTGCATTTTCCATCAAAGATTTCATCATATTCTATTTGATTCCCCGATATTAGTTGTTTGAAACTTTGAATCATGAATGAATACCAGCTTTTTAATTTTAATTTTGTTCCTCCATAAATTGATGATGAAATGTAGCTTCCATTTGTATTCTGTTTGTGGGATTATGCATTTTTAGCAATACCAGATTGCAGATTGTCAGAAAGGCTCTCCTTACCAAAGCTAATGAGCATCGGAAGAATTACAGAATGAAGTTGGCCACAAATGAGGGTCGGGCCAAGTCAAGTTTGGGTGACTGAATTTAAATGTACCTTTTATATTTGATTTTGGAGTTTTTGTTCCTTAGAAATACGTTTTTCAGTGCTAGAATTTCAATTTGTTGATTGATTTCCATTAGATATCTTGCAAACGTTATTGTTACGATATCTTGCAAATGATTGAGAATAAAAGCAAAAGGATTTAGTTTGACTCCAACTAATTCGCATTTTCTGGGAGGATTCTAAATGATTAAAGAAAGTATAGTTTCAAGTGGTTTCTTGGGTGGCATTATTGACCTGTTGAGGTAAGTGTCATTCAAATGCATAGTTCACTGTTGCTGAACTTTTTTTTCTTTGTTTATGTATCACTGATAAGTTAAGGGGTTTAAATTTTAATATTATTTCAGATTGTTGGATTTGCACATGGGTTTCCTTATGGCATCATTGACTTGTTGAGGTAAGTGTCAATTTTCTACCCATGGTGTTAAAAAAACTGCATGCTGGTGATTTATTCAAATAATTGTTTTCAATAACTCCCAACTGAAAAGATATTACATTTATCTTCTGGGAGTTTTGCAAATTCACTTATAGCTTTGGAATTTGTTTCCATTTTGACCTATGTCTTGGTGGCTTTGTATTACCTTTCATACGTAAACTTGGGTATGCCTATCAAAACTCTTAGTTTTAAATTAAACTTTCAATCTTTCATATATGTCTAACATTTTATATGAAAAAAAATAATATTTTATTATTATTGTTATTCAAAGGCATATCATTCTGTCTTTCCCTCTTTATTATCATTCTCTTTCTATGCCACTATTGTCAATGAATTATTGATTCAAAATGTTGAGAAACTTTATTTGATTTGATAGAATTTTGTACATTATTTTTCAATATGGCCTTGGTTTCTAATTTTTTCCCCCGATATTTTCTTCTCAAGTATCCAATTCCACCTTTTGACTTTATTGTTCATAGAGTTACCTCAATGTTAGTGAATGTGCATAAATATAGGTTGCCTCCTAAATCTCTAAATAAGAAACTAAATTGTAGGCCTTTAATTTTGTTCTGAAATTGCCTAGGAAGAAACTGTGATGAAGTTCAGAGTCAGTTTAGTTGAGCATAATTTACTGAACTTCTTGGCTTCTTTAAAAGTTATCCAAAGAGAGCATTGGAATTTCTACAAGTATTTTCTGTCCCCTTTGGATCTATCCTTTCGTACTTCTAAGGCCTCATTTCTAAAAAATATAAACACCAATTTCTCTTCTGGTCAATTATAAGCACAAAAATGGTCCATTAAGATAGCTCTTACCAGCTTCCCTATTTGAAAGTGGTTGGGTGCTACCAGACAGCCGGAGGCCTTGGACCAGGTTTAATAGAACTTTTTCCATGAAAAAAGACTTTCTAAACAATAATTCTCAGCTTCTGGTGATGGTTTTATTTAATTTAATACATGTGGACTAAACATGCAAGGATTTTTTCTTTTTCCAGGCTCTGCTTTTTCTCTACACAAGTAGAAGTCATCAGGTCCACCAATTCAAGATTTGTTAATATGGACACCTTTTTTCCCAGCATGGTGACTCCTGTCATAAGTTCCTTTAGTCTTACCATGTCAATTTCTAGATCATATTCCTATTGTACAACCTCCATATTGACATTGGGAAACAAGTCACCCAATGTTCAAACCTAATCATTAGATCATTGTATTTAACCATAGGCTCTGTATTTTTTTTTTTTTTTCATTTTAGGGGACAAGAAATGATAAGGAGGCTAAATTCCACGTTGCAATGTTTGATTGTAAGGGATATTTAAGCAAAATCAATCACGGGCAAATACTATAATCAAATATAGTGAAGGTAGCTAGCTTTTAGATATACAATTTGCTTGATGGTGGCTCTGGGAGGTACTATTGTCTCACAATCTAAATTTTATTTGTAGGAGGTTTTGTGACTTAAATCAAGTGATTGATCCAAGACAAAAACAAGAGTTAAAAATCAATTCGCTAGGAACCAAGATAGATTCCTTTGTTGCAAAATATAATTTAAAAAAGAATATATATCATAGGGGTTTAAGCATTTTTTTATCGTCTTCTTTCGCACATGTTAGCTTAGTCTTTTTATTATTATTATTATTTGTTATTGTTTATTAAATGCCACTTATCCATATGAGAATCTTTCAAGTTTATATTCAACTCAAAAAGGTTCTATTAATCTAATAATATTTATGTTTAGGATAAAGTTATTTTACTAATATGGCTTTTAAATTTAAAAATTGATAATTTATATGAGGTAATGGAAGTTGGTTCATTTGAAGTTAGGAAGTCTTATACCCCAAACTAACAAAATGTCTTCCCACAAAGTTTTCTTATCATCTTAGCCATCTAATTTTGGGCAAGACATTATAAATATTCCTAGGAACAAATATATGTTGGGTCGGAAAGGAACAAATGA